AGGGCACCACATGATTCTAAATATCTAATAAAAGTGATAAGCCAAAGAGGCTAACCTTGACTATAAAAAAAAAAAAAAAATAGAACAAATTAGAATGATATAGAAAAATTTGATTATTCAATAAGGAAACTTAATACAAAGAAACAAAAAATAATTAATAAACTGATAAGTTTATAGGATATTTGCTATTTTTAGAGGAGGAAGCACAAGGAAAATCAAATAATAACACAATTTTATGCAGAACACTTGATTAAATTTTTAACATGTGATTAATTTTTGGGTATTGGCATGAGTTTTAATAATACTATTGATTATTTTAGAAATTAAATTTGCAGAGCAAATTTCTAAAGGTGGAAGAAGCTATTACAGAATAACTTTATAATGTTACACTAATAGTTTGGTAGAACAATACTTTATAATTTATAGTTTATATTTTAGAAATAATTTTTGTTAAATTTGTATTGTATTAGAAATTATATTATATTTAGAATAGTTAGAATATTAGAATGTATACCAGTATATATCATATATTACTGTATGCCATATGTTACTATATGTTATATGCTAATATGCCATATACCAGTGTATGCCACTTGCCATATAGTTGTACTGTATGCCAGTGTATACCAATTGCCAAATAGTTGTATGCTAGTATATACCACTTGCCACATGGTTATATAATAGTATATATTAATATAATATACATAGTTGTATATTAGTATATATTAGTGTATCCAACATGGTTGTATGCTACTATATGCTAATCTAACAGTTATTTAAAGGAAGGCTTTTCCCCCTTATCTTAACAGACAATAGACAAAATAACTAGATAGTTAGAGTAGATAATAAATAGAAACTATTAAATAATACAGTAATACTCTTTGGAATATTGTGTTCGAAATCTTTCTATAATATTCTTTTCATTCTAATAACCTTGTAATATCTTTATTGTCTCTAAAACAAGTAAATAAATCCTTCTGTTTAAACCTTCTCTTTTGCTATTCTTAAACCCTTCTTTAAAAGTACTGCTGTAACAGTAATCAAACCTATTCCTAGTTGCAGAATTTGCTTACCTATTCTATAGAACATTCCAAAAAGTTTCAAAACAAATTTATAACAAAATTTTTAAGCTCAAATACTAACTAAAAAAAAGTAAACAAGAATATACAAAACTAGAGTTATTAATTTGCATTATTTTTAAAATTTATAATTACAAATAATCTAAAAAGAGTGTTGCTAACTTGCCCCCCTGGTTATGTAATTTGCATATATAATTAACTAATCAAATTACAGGATCTTGTATAACAAAAACGATAGTAAAAATTAAGAAAAAACCAAAAACTTTTAAATATCACAAAATTTTATTATATAAACCCACTTTGGGCTTTTAAGTAAAAGTTTTCAGCTTACAATTTTGCATATATTTATGCATTTTAACTTTAATTTAACACTAAACCTAATCTTTAAATTAAAATTTAGCTTTAATTTATAAAAATTTGTATAATAAGGTGGTGATTTAACCACGGTTAAAATTAGTTATATTCATCTAAAAAAAATTAACTAAAATTAACAAAAAAATCTAAATTAAAATTATCTACAAATAGATTTTAAATATAACAAATATTAAAAAACTTTTAAATAAAACAATTATCAAAATTTTATATATAAATCTATTACTCTTATCATAATACACTACTATTAAAAACTCTATCTATACAAACAATTAATAAAAATTTATCAACCGCAGACTAACTTTAACGTAAAAAAATTTTTATAATTACCAATCTTACTTATAATTGGCTAATTTGCTAAATTACACCTTTAATAATATATTGCACTATATAACAATAAATAACATATAACTCTCTATAATAAATACTATGTTTTTTGATAAAATTAAAACCAAAATGCAATTTTACGTGAAGATATAATAGAAGATTTTTTAATCAGTGCGGTACAGTATATTGTTTAATTTTGCCGGCATCAGAAGAAATTTATGCGGTTAAACGGTTCCAATCCGTAATTGTCCGGAGTCCTACCTATATCCTTAGATCATCCGAACTTTCCAAATTTCATTCTGATGCAAAACATAAAATATATGATTTAATTGTATATGTACAATATTAAAATTACTTAGCTAGTTTTTTTTTCTTTAAAAAAGCCCTCAAAAATACGTATATAAAGAAATCAAATAGTTATCACTTTTTAAATTATTAAAAACTTTTTTATAACATTAAACTTATACAAATATATGTAATATTCATATTACTTTCTAATTATCTAATAGAAACAGAAAATAATGATCATTACAGAGGACAGCCGTGCCGACTGAAAATCTGTAGTAATATACCTATAAGCAGAAAATGTTTTAAGATTTCCCTTGTTCTTTTGGTCGAGGAAGACCCATTGTGACAAGAAATTCAACAGCCTGATTATATTCCCTTTTTTGTCGTTCTGAAGACCATCCAAGCTCTTTGCTCATAATCTCAATGATATGCGGAAGCGACTCAAGAGTTGCTTGAACGTCAAGAAACGCCAGGCGAGTACGACGCGCGATAACATCCTGACGGATAAACAAACATTTTTAAAAAATGTGGCTCAAAAATAAAATTGCGAATATTATGTTATGTACCAAACATGGTATACGTACCACGAGAGTACAAGCATATTCTCGACGGACAGCATAAGTAATCTCTGCGTCAATGTATGGGTATAGTGGATTTAATCTGCAGCCAAAAGCTGGCCAACTCTTGCCAGTTGGACGTGCTAATGCAGCAACAGCCCATGAACGATCACCATAACTATTAGCTAAATGTCGTGCAACCTGCGAATTGTGCAAACTAGTCAATGTTGGATAATAATTTCTAATGTTATATAAGTCATAGATTAACGTTAATCATCGATTAATACTTCAGTATCTAATTTGAATTGTTGAATGAGCTTTATAAACATTGTTGGAGAATATCCGTGCGACCCAATAAGCTTCGTTATTTCAGTACGACATTCATTTGGGGGTTTCAGTCCTTTGAATAGTTAAGATAACTTATGGTTTGTTTAAAATGATAAAAACGAAGGCACTATGCACTAAATGAAAACCAACCAAATACTTTAATAGCTGTATCAACCGTTTCTTCTGCCATATTTCTGTATGTTGTCCATTTTCCACCCGCAATTGTGATTAAATTGGAAGGGCTAACATTAATCATGTGCCTTCTCACTAATTCTGACGTATTTTTGGCACCAGGATCACGCACTAAAGGACGAATTCCGGACCAAGCAGCAAGAACATCACTGCGTCGAACTTCAATGTCTGTAAGTAAAATATCGCGTATATGTAATTTGATTAAATAATATAATTTGGAGTTTGTGATAAATAACGATAAGAACAACAGTTGAACTACAGTATAGGTGGGCAAGATCAACAATATTCACGTACACATATAAAAAATTAATGATTATTAATAATAATGCCCACCTCTACTACAGTTCACTCAGCCACATTGCATAAGATCCAAGAAAACAAACCAGGACTTAAGTATGTTCTGATTTCATTAAGAATCCATTGTATTTCTTCTTCTTTAGGCATTGGGTTGTACGTCAATTCAGTGGGTGAATCTGTTGTTCCAGCAATTGTACTTCCTTCCCAAGGTAAAAAAAAAATTACCCTCCCATCTGATGTAGAAGGATCAATCATGCCCATTCTTCGGGGGCTATAATAGTTTGGTAGGACAACATGAACACCCGCAGATGGAGCAACAATGTTGTCACATCTAGGATTATCCATAGAACGAATACCATCTGTGCAAATGAAATTAGATTAAATGCTAATTGGACACATATTCAACAGTTAACATAACCGCGTTCTTTGACTAATATAGGCCAATACGCGTGTGACGTCAATCTACCTGTAAATGCACCAGTAGCATTTATTACACCTTTAGCTCTGATGTCCCATTCATCACCGCTCAAATTATCTCTGACTCGTGCTCCAATGACTTTGTCCTCATTGTCTTTCAATAATCGTGTAACCTCCACGTGATTTACAACAACTGCGCCATGTGAAACGGCGGACAATGCAAGAGCGACGTTCATACGTGCATCATTGTGTTGACCTAAATGAATATCGTAAAACAACTAAGTAACAACTTGTTTTTATGGACGAATAGTAATTATGAGAGAACCAACGTGAAGTTAGGCATGATGTAAAGTAGCATATAGTAAATTAATCACGAAAAAGAACTATGCTAGTATTCGCCCAAACGCCTTTGAAAAAGGGACATTAACAAATGCCATTTTTCTTATACTAAACCACTCTTTTATACTACTTAACGTTGGTCTCTTGGTGTGATGGAAATATAAATCTTAACTAACCGTCATAATATACCATAGCACCAACGAGTTTCTCCTTTTTTAACCACGGGAAAGCTTCAATTGCCTTACTACTAGACAAGAAATGTGAGCTTTCCATAGATTCGCGGCCTGCAAGGAAATCGTAAACTTTTGAACCAACCCAGAAATATGGAACTTGCCACCACCTGCATCAAAATACGAAACGAACCATTTTAATATTTGAAAATTCTCAATCATAATTCAAAAAACTATGTATACTGATCATACTTGTAAATGGGCAACAGGATAGGCAATGGATAACTTAAATAAGGGGCAATATGCAAAAAAGTGGCACGTTCATGAAGGGCTTCTTTCACAAGCTTGTATTGCCCATAGTCGAGTTCTTTAAATGCTTTCTCAAGGTATCGAACGCCACCATGAACAAGTTTTGTCGACCGCGAAGAGGTCCCAGCAGAGAAGTCATCTCTTTCTACCAATGCAACTTTTAATCCTCTTGTTGCAGCATCGAGAGCCGTGCCCGTACCAGTAGCGCCACCGCCTATAATTAATAGATCAAATGGTGGTTCTTTCACATCCTTATCTTTCTCTAGTGGACCTCCCATGCTTGAACTTTTGAGAATGTTCAGCATTTTCTTTCTTGAAGGCGGGACCCATAAAGCATGCAGTTCATTATCTGATGGAGTGTCTGTTTGAGCTTGATTATACGCGTCTGCATATGTCTCTGACATTAAAAAATGTGGCTTGATAATAGATAAACTATGTGCTCGTTGCTGTCGAGTTCTCCTCGGGTAGAAATAGTAGGCGGATGCACTGCTAACAACTGCTATACTTGTGTAAGCTACGCGCTTTTTAGTAAAAATCTTCCACATTCTCGTACTTTACGTAAAGTTCAAATAAGAGAAAAATAAAACGTATTTATGGATGATTTGATTATATCTGATTGATTTTTATGTAGTTACAGATAATAATAAGCATCATTGTTACACACCTTTTTAT